CAGCCTTGGGTGTCTCCATATGAATACTCTCGAGGAATTCCTTGTGGGTTCAGATGTTCCTCAGCCTAGCCACCTCCTCCTGTACCTCTCCCACCTACTTCCTAAGTGATTCCACCAGCAGGCACCCTTCACACTGGTTGGTCCCCCCAGCCTGGCTTTCTGTGGCCTTGGCTACACTTGACAATTTACAGCGCTGTGAAGCACAAGTGTAGTCGCGCCGCCAGCACTGTGAGAGCTCTCTCACAGCGCTGTAAGTACTCCACCCCTCCGAGGGGAGTAGCTTGCAGCGCTGCGAGTGAGCGTGCAGCGCTGCAGGCGCTGATTACACTGGCGCTTTACAGCGCTGCACTCGCTGCGCTTGTGGGGGGGGCGTTTTCACACCCCTGAGCGCAGCAAGTTGCAGCGCTGTACAGCACCAGTGTAGCCAAGGCCTGTGAGTGGGAAATGCAGCCCACAGTCTCTGCAAATCCACACGAGGATCTGGGTAGAAGCATCCATGGTTAGGTTGTGTGTCTGGATACAGGCGCAGGTGAAGGAGACAGGAGGAGTGTTGGCACTGGCAATGTTGCCCTTCCTAACCATAGCGATTATATTATGTCTCCCTTCCAGAAACTCCCTCTCAAACTCCCCTGTTCACTAGCTCCCCTGGGTCGCTTAGCCTCTGGCTTTTAAAGCCTTCTCTCCTAGGTCAGCCCTACCCCCTCGTTAATCACACAGGGAGAGGGTGATCACAGTGTTGATTGAGGCTGATCAAAGATGATCAAGGATGATCCAGGGAACAAAGGCTCAAACAATCCCCAGACACACAATCCTGACTGACCCAGTAACCTGTGAGAAAGAAAAACTCAACCAGCCAAACAAACTTACTCACCCCAAAGTTAGTACTCACACCTTGTTCGTTCAGCAGGGGGCTCTCCTTCTCCCCCTCTCAAAATTCCCTGTTTGCAGTTCCCTGTTCGCTACCTCCTCTTGGTTGCTTAGCCTCTGGCTTTTAAGGCCTTCTCTCGTAGGTCAACTCTACTTCCTCGTTAATCAGGAGATGGGGTGGTGGGTTATTGCTATGTTGGAAGGTGTTAATGGCAGCCATCAGCTGGTTCTTTATCTAGAGATAATTGGAGACCTGATTAAAACTGGTGGCTTTTGTAAACAGATGCCAGGGGCCCATGTGTGCCCCATTTCCCCTGTCTGGTTTTCTGATTTTTTCCTACAGTTAAGAGGGTTCTGCCCGCTGGTGTCTAGAGTGTTCCATGAAATGCTGGAATTCATCAGCTGCAGCATTCAAAAGTTACTGTGTGACACAGAAATGCAATTAAGTTAGATAAAGGGCCTTCTTTTGCTTGGCCAATAACGTATCCTGTTCAGAATTTTCCATTTTCTCTGTATCCAGGTTGTCTTAAATCATTGCAACTTAAGTGGGCATTCACCCACGAAAGCTTATGCTCCAATACTTCTGTTAGTCTTAAAGGTGCCACAGGACCCTCTGTTGCTTTCTACAGATCCAGACTAACACGGCTACCCCTCTGATAATTGCAACTATGTTACATTCAATACACTTTGTTTTCTCTCTTTTCTCCTGCCATCTGGATCAAGTACCAGTGAGATGAAAGTTCTCTCAATCTGCCACAGCTCCGGAGCTCGATCCCTTCTACCTGATGTTATCATTTTCTTCATTACGTTTTATGTTCACAAGCTGGAATCAGGTAGGAATGTCCATGGCTTCTGCTGCTTCTTACAGGATTGATGTATTTGTTTTGATTTATAAAATTTCCCTGTTCCACTGGCTTATTCAAAAATGAACAAAAATTAGCACAAATCCCCAAGTGTATCAACACAAGGAAAATATAAATAACAATTGTTATGAGCTGGGTGAAAGTTTGTTATGGGTTGAGTTAAAATCTTATTCAAACTGATGTGTGAATGCACCTTTCACTTGAGTATCACGGGGTAGCCGTGTTAGTCTGTATCTACAAAAACAACAAGGAGTCTGGTGGCACCTTAAAGACTAACAGATTTATT